AAATTCCTTAAGCCCCGGCCCCTGTAACTTGACATTCCTAGCTCCGCCACTGCATATATATATATATATATATATATATATATGTATGTATGTAATTATGGATATAACGTAACATAAAAAGGTTTTATGAGTTTAAGAGCTGAGCAGAGAAGTAATACTCGGTCGTGACTTAGTAAGAAGTATTTAAAAAAGAAAGAAAACATAAAAGAAAGAAAGGTTGTTCCGTAGTGGAGGAAGAAAGAAGAACCAGGCCCGGTCCTGACTTTTTGAAGACTCGGGACATATTGCAAAAATGGGCCCTTCAATTATAAAGCTGAAAAATAATTTCTATTATAAAAGCAAAGTTTAATAATAAAAAAAACAGTAGCTCAATACATAAAGCATGATACTTAAATACGTAGTAGTTCATTAAAAAATAATTACAAAAAAAATTTCGCCAAGCGTTTTTAGATGAATGAAGCTATTAGCTATAATAGAAACAGTGAAACACAACAATAATTGAAATAAGGAATCTACATTCAAAAACCTGTACTACAAAAAAGTTCCTGTTAAATATTTAGAAATATTAACATTGAATCTAGTAATTGTAATCTGGTTATTGGAAAACATATCTAAAATAACTGATGAATCAAGACATTAAGAGCAATTTTAGAGACTTAGAGTTTAAGTAAATCACCTAATCACCTATTCAGTATTCACCTCCACAAATCCACTCTGGTATTGACCAATTCACCAATTGTTAAAGGACCCTTTCAGTCTTTCAGATTTGAGATGAAGTAATAAAAATAGAAGAATTAATCGACAACGAAGACAAGTCTGAGGCGGCAATGGAAAAGAAATTGAAAGATGAATCAGAAGAGAGAATTGGATACCGAAGTAAAGCATGAAAAAAATCTATATCAAATCTAATGAACTTTATAGACTAGAAGAAAATATTGTCATTTGAGTGGAAGTCGGAAAGATGACCTATGATGTTATCGAGATTAGGCAAGATGAAAGCAGTTCGCAATTCCCAAATCCCAATTCCGAAGAGTCGAAGAGATGCAAGCAGCAAGCGGTGAAGCGGTTTGCCTTCTCAGCTTCTAATTGTTGGCCAAATTACAAAACCCGTAGTGGGTAATGGCCCACTATAGCACTATCATTTACTACTAGTTTTTCACCCGTGCGTTGCACGGAATAGAAAACTAATCACAATGTACTTAGACTATATATATTACTTGTAATTCTGAAACATGGCCCAAATTGAATGGTACATAAAATAATAAAATAAACACTTTATACTGCAATTGAAATAAGTCTTCGTAAAACATCTTAAGATTTGTGCAGATGAAACTTTAGTCATATTTATTAAAACGATTAAAAGGGAAATTTGCAAAGCTTTGTAGGTGGAGGGAGGGATTATATAATCCTACGATAGCAGATCAGAGCGGGAGTGTAAGGATACAAACTTAAAATTGGCTGCGAGAATTATGAAAACAAAAAATTAGTTCCAAACATCAATGTGCCCATCGCCCAACCGAGTTAGTATCATGGGTGGTTAGAAGTCTCCAAAATGTAGTATGCTTCAATATGACTCCATTTTTATCAGCTTTCTCCCAATATTGAAACATCAATTCTTACCTTGAAACCTACATAATCTAAATTGCACCTAATTAATTTGTTTCAATTTTTTTTTTGAAGTTAGGAGTTTGTTAGTATGTATATGTATGACACAGGTACCAGACAAAATGCATTGTATGTAAGGGTGGACTCAGTCTCACAGTCTTACCCTGTCCAGGACCGAGTCCAGCATTGTTTGGGACCGGACAGGGTCAAGAATTTATGGTTTCGGGCCTGGGACCGGCCATGTCCGCCCAAGAGAGGTTCACAGTCCTGGTTCACCTATTTGGTGACCAAACCATGCGGTTCCGGTTTTAATCCAATATCGGCCAATTTCTTTTTTTAAAGCTTGAAACCGGGGAAAATCCAAAAAATCATAATGGGTCCAAGATCAGAACCGGGCCTCCCTGGTACCCACAATTGACCCAGACCCGAATAATAGTGGGTTGGTCCAGAGCCCACCATTTTTTGAACCAACTCAACCAAGCAATCCTGGCCAAGAACCAAAACTGTCCCGGGTTCATCCCTAATTGTATACTACCGTATAAGCTTTTACTAAATAAGCATTTCATCACATACGAATATATGATGTATGCACAAAAACCAGCTTTACTATATCGAAGGTAACAGGTGTTGCTGATCTCCACATGTTACCGAAAGCAAACCTATTGCACTAAGAAACTCCAAAAAAAAAACTTGAGCAAAAAAAAACTTGGGAAAATTATAAACTGGACAAATATTTAACTATGGATACAGAAAACCATATTAAATTAACTATTTTCATTGTAGTGTTACAATTCCATTTTTCTTGATTATCAACCAAACTATATGTAAATAACTGTCACATTTACAATTAACGCTTGAAAGTCTTAACAAATTTTATATGCAACCTCATATTATGAATTCGAAAGGGGTTAAAAAGTGCTTGGAAGAGCTCCAAGTCCAGAATGCATCAAGTTATGACATTTGGCAAGTAGACAATGTGCCCGTGGAACATAATATACCTATCATACTCAATATTTTATGTAGGAGACATGGTAAGATTATTTGCAATTTCTAGAGCCAACAAATACGCTACATTGACCTGATGGGCAATTCACACATCACAAAAATTAATACTTGGTTTAGGACAATATCCTAATAGTTGAAAAGAGAAAGTAACAACTTCAGTTCAATGGTCATGAGATTCCCATAAGAACTATATCGGTTAAATAAGAACCCAAATGGTTGTGACTAATTCAAACACACTCTTGAATACATTATGGAGAGTGAATACAAATGACTAAATTGGATTTGCTGCTGCTGAGAGCTTAGACCTGAACCGTCGAAACATCCAGAACCACATATAAAATCGGTGATACCATGCAAAAAGTTACCGTGATGTTGAAACAAAAGAGAAGGAATGGACTTCAAAATCAAATCAAATAGGAATGGACATAAGCATGATCTAATGTAGCCTTTATAAGCACACAATGCATTGTATGTAAGCTTTACATAAATAATTTTATGTACCAAAGAATTCAAAATATCTACTATCCAAGATGGCTCAGAAAGACAGATAAAAATGCAAACAGATGTAGAAAAAAGATAAAAATGAGAATAATATTTTCATTTTTATTCAAATAGCATACATAGGCACTATCAAATGATTGAATTCAATGTTTTTTCAAGCTCCCAAATGCAAATCTGCAATCGAGTGCAATGTCATTCACCTAAATCAACACACACTTGTGTATACTATTTGAATAAAAATCAGTACTCAAGTCAGTACTCAATGTCATTCATAGTTAAGATTTGATTTTCAATAATAGCTAAAATAGGCTATTGAAAGAATTCACCACAGAGGTGCAGACCCTACTACTTTGAGGGGGAGAAACTTAACTTATAGAACATGAAATGAGAGTAATTAAATTGCCTTTATGCACACTTGATTGGCTGAATTTGTTTTCCTTCCAGTAGGCATTGCACACAGCATTCCACCAAGTAATCCATTTAGGTGATGACAAAATGGGACTTCAATTCATGCATTTCTAACGACATTCCACTGCTATGATAACTAAATAAAGTAGACAGAATAATCCCCCAACAAAATAAAAATGCAAGAAAAAATAACTAAAAGTTTGAAGGTGGAATAAAAGGGGTATAAATTCACAACATAGAGAGAATAATATCACTTTGGTGTTATCAAATTCACAAAGCAGAGATGGATTAGAGAAGCTGGAGCATAATTGTTGCAAACCCAAATAGATAATATGCTTATGAACAAATGAAATAAAAAGAATTTAGTGAGCGAACCCTAGATTGAGACGAAAATTCAATCTCATGAAGCAGAGAGTGATTAGAGAAGCTGAAGCGGTATCCGTACGGCGTACACCTCTTCCTCCGCCGAATCTTCATACATCGAGCGCCTGTATTCATTGGCCAAGCATAGACTCTTACAGCAATTTCTTCGATTATGTTAGGAAGGATATCACTCAGATCCAGTCACTATATTCCACTTCCGTTGAGATGGCAGAGCAAAGGAAGGCTAAGAAGACATAAAAAGCGTCGTAGATGCGCTGGAGTCTAGAACGTAGAAACCCAGAAGTAAGAGGATTTCGTGTATTTACAAAAATGTCCTTGATGGCGAGCGGGAAACCCACTTAAGTCGATTAATATAGATATAGATACGGAGTATTGGAGTAATATTACTAAGTTACTAACTTAATAATATTAATATTATTCATTTATAATTTTATAAATATAATATAACCTATAAAATTATGGGCCCCACTCTAAACATGGGCCCTGGGCATTTGCCCCCTTGCCCCTCCTCCAAAACTGGGCCTGAGAAGAACATATGGACAGTCTTGGACTCGGGCCGGGTGGCCCGACCCGGAACCGGCCCGGGACCGGTACTGTGCTGAACTCAAATATCCTTCAAATTACAAAAGTTTGATTTGGGGGTGGTTTGGGGGGTTGGGGGTGAGGGGGGTTAATTAGGAAAAGGAAAAACAAAATTGACCCGAGGCCCGGCCCGAACCCGGTGGCTACCCGGGCCTCCTTCAAAAAACCCGAGGCCCGATCGGGCCTAGGCCCGGCCCGGGTCCATGACTACACATATATGGAGCAAGAAAGAAGAAGGTATACAGGAAGAAAAGAAATCCCAAAATATACAGATGTCGAGATTTTTTCCCTTGAAATATCATTTTTTACTCCGTATAATATGCTTTTCTCGGCTAAAAGGCTAGACAACCATGAACTACTCCGTATATACGAAGCCAAAGTTGGTCGCAAAATGCACGCTACTCAAGAATATATAATCACTACAAAATGTCAAAAGACAAAAAATTTTGGTAGAAGTTCCCTGATTTTGACAGGAGTATGTCAAATTCGTGCAAAAAATAGTTTTACATGATCTATTTGGCATAAAATATCGCTAAATCCTTGCCAAATCCTTCACAATTCCGTATTTTTGTTTGTAGTGAATGGACACAGGTCATAGGTCGGTGGCTCAACTCAAGTCAAAAGGGTAACACTCCTTTGGAGTCCAGCGTGATAATCGATGGATGGGTCTCACCTACACGTATGTGAACATCTATTTTTTGTCTGTAAAAACTAAACAACCTATTCAGAGACAAAAAATAGTTATTGACATGCGTTGTACTAGTATATAATAAAGTGTGTAAGAGAACAATTTTTGAATAATAATCACTTGACAATCTTGTGAAGTAGCTTGAAGTGAAAAGCTGAACTCTTGAAATCCCAATAAAGTCCAACCTCGTCCTCCACCGCCATGCCCCGCTCTTTGAACAGATCCATGCACGCCAGAATGTAGTCGTCGCCGGGGAGAACTTCGAACCAGCCGCCGTACCTCTTAGGGCTATTTTGGTCCGTCACGTCCCAAAGTACGACGTTGCTCTTCTGCCCCATAACCACCTGGTTGACCATGCAAAGACCCCAGTACCGGAAAACGTGGTCAAACGCGTCGGCGAACGGCACCACCAGCTTCCCGGCGATCGCCTCGTAATGCGTTAGCACTTTCCTGATCTGCCATGGGTTCGCCGGATCCACCATCGGCGGCGGGAAGACGTCACGCAGCTCCAACAGCGTACGTTGCACTTGCCACGTGCCGGTGCCGGCCATGCACGCCTCTTCTTCAACCTTGCTTGGGATAAAGTTGTAGAAGAAGGTCTTTTTTAACATCTGTAAGAATTTACGATTTGATTTCCGGCAGTTTTGAATAATGTATATATATGCAGGAAGAATTGGAGTTGTAGTTAAAGAAGATTTGATTTTCCGTCTGAAGTCTATATGGAATGGGACGGAATTGGCAATTATTTCTTATAAATATAAAATACCTTCCTTTCCCGTTTATTTTATGAGATCTTTTAATATGGTGTATTCTTTACTTTTAATATATACAGTATGAAGTATATGGTGTATTCTTATATTAATATTTACTTTTAATATACTATCGTATACAGTATGAAATATTCTTTACTTTTAATATATACAGTATGAAGTATATTTCTACAATTGAGTTCACAATTTAATTTTTAAATCAAACTTTTGTATTTTGAAGGATATTAAGCTTCTTCCAAACTTTCATATTTGGAAACTTGATCTCAATTTTTTAATCCCCTGTCCTAATTTAAAGTTTTCGGATTTCACTTCCCTTTTTGGAAGTCACATCTAACCATCTCCATACATACATAGTATTTTAGAAAATAATTAGCACTCAATCTTAAATGCTAATTTGATCACCAAATATTAATAATAACACATCTATAATATCACATTTATCACCAATGACTCCATTATACTTCGTATTATATATCTATCAATACAATTTTTCAAAATATACTCAAATTTACTTATTTAATAATTTATCTAAATATTAACCCTGTCATTTTTCAATGAAAACCTTAAGTCAAGACGAATATAGTATTTTTTTGTAAGTAACACAAATTTTTGAAAGTCTGATCTGATCTGTTTAAGACTAGTGTGGTCTCACTGCTACTACAAAATTACCTTAAGAAGTCGCCCTTTACGTATCGCTTTTGTATTGCATGTGATATTTAAAGTTTAAGAGTTGCTTCATAAAAATTAAATGACTTAATAGTCGCCTTTTATCCATTGCTTTTGTATTTAATGTGATGCTTAAAGCTTAAGGGTCGCTTTGTATCAATTAAGCGACACATAAATTAATTTTATGTAGCATTTGTCTAAGTATGTGATCCCGATACTTTTAAGAGAATTTTTAAGTATCTCTTTGTTGTATCGCTTCGTAATAAAAACGGATGCGTAAAAGTACATAATAAGTGCCAAGTACCTTGTGGTCTCATCCTAATTCAAAGATGTTGGTTTAACCGAACATATACTATACTAGGTTAGAAAGATTTGCAAAAAAAACTTAATAAAATTGGAGTATCAAATATCACAATAGCATAGTTAACTCTGACTCTCTAAGGCCATTCCTGAAACTCTTTGAAGCTATTCCCCACAGGGGAATTGAGATGGACAGAGGGGATGCTCGGGTCCTTCCCAGGCCATTTGAGGAGGACAACGGTGTAACACCCCGACCCCGCAGGACCCGAGGTAGTTACCCATACACACCCTCCGGACCTCTAGTACTGTCCTCACAAACCGCCACTAGCCTTTTCTGCGCACTTTGTCCTCACTTGTGTGCGCCCTAAGAAACTTCCCAGGGGTCACCCATACCAAGACTACTCCCGTGCAAGCACGCTTAACTTTAAAGTTCTTAGCGGATGAGCTCCCTTAAAAGGAGATGCATCTTGTTAGTATGAGTAGTACTATTAATCCGTTTAAATTAAATCTCAAGTGTTACAATCGTCCCCACTTAGGATCGCAACGTCCTCGTTGCACCCATAAGCCAATTCAATCTTAATCATATCACAAAATCTTTCCCTGCTAAATGCCCGCCCGATATCCAACGGATCAGCGCACTGTCGCAGGGTTGCTCTGACACCGGCCCCGCAAGACCCAAGGTAGTTACTCCTACACACCCTCCGGACCTCTAGTATTGTCCTCACGAACCGCCACTAGCCTTTTCCGCGCACTTTGTCCTCACTCGTGCGCGCCCTGAGAAACTTCTCAGGAGGTCACCCATCCCAAGACTACAACCATGCAAGCACGCTTAAATTTGGAGTTCTTATTAGTGGATGAACTCCCTTAAAAGGAGATGCATCTTGTTGGTATGAGTAGTACCATTAATCCGTTTAAATTAAATCTCAGGTGCTACAAACGGGCTTTCCCTTGACGGATTCAATGATCTAAGATTCGAGGGACAAAGAGTTGGCCCGGAAGATGATGAAATCTGCCGTTTCTGTGTAGCGCGGATTCATTTGGGCGTTGTCGATTCAGAGGTAATCCTCGAATCTTGATATGATTTTAGCTACCGCAGCCTGTGAATATCCACTAGCTGCCACCATGCAGATCAACGAAAGCACCAAGAGCAGACGGAGAAAGTAGAATTGAGCAAAATCATTTCGACGGAGGGGAAGACAACACTTAGAATGCTTTCCACGATTCATCTAATTCCCTGCATAGCTGGGCTGGATGATCACGAGAACTATAATTCTATTGCAATGTGAGTAATAACTCTGTAATCGGATGATCTCCCAGCTTCTGTCATGTGACTTCTCTCCCCGTGAACATTCTATTTGAGTTTACAAGTCTTATGATTTCTCTATTGTGATTTCTCTCATTGACCTAATTTGGCTTTTGTTTCCTGAAGGTTACTTCTTTTAGGAGAAAAGGGTCGATTCAGTACATGAAGTAGTGCTCGGTGGAGTAAAGAGCACACCATTTTGAAAATCAGTTAAAACGGTACATCTTTTGGCCGTTTTAGCGTTGAACAAGTACTTAGGGTACCGGCCCGTTAAAAAACACGAACGTGGCAATTGTTTGTTGTTTCGTTCGTACACGGTGGATGCCCAGTCAGCTTCCCCCAACCTCCCTATTAAATGTAAAACCCTAATTTAAAGATTCAGTCTGTTGCTTCCTTTTCTTCTTCGATTATCAGAACTTGTTCGCGCAAAGGGTAGCATTTGTGGATCTGTGGAGCTGCTTGGTGAGTTGATTAATCCTCCACATTTCTTATGTTTTGATGAAGGTGGGCTATGAAGGACATAGTTGTACTGATTTCGTTTTTTAATTAAATTTCACAGATATTTACAGACATGGATTATGGAAAGTGTGGGTGTAGAATGCCTGTGAAGCTGATGATGTCCTGGACAGATGACAATCCAGGGAGACGGTTCATTGCCTGCTCAAGAGTAAGGGGTTTTTCTATTTAATTGTGGTTTGATGTGATTTGTTGTTATTTTCTAAAATTTGCTTATATAAACAAATGACATATTGTGATTGTAAAAAATAGGCTATAGGTGGTTGCTGCAACCTGTTTGAATGGATTGATCCTGAAATGTGTGCAAGTTCAAAGATGATAATACCTGGTCTTTTGAGGAAAATCAACAAATTACAACATGCAGTTGATGATGCAAAGGCTGTGAAGAAAAGACAGAAGATGAGGACCAGCATCTGATGTATGAGTGTATCATAGGAGTACTTATCCTAGCCCTCCTGCTGGTAGTTTGTTTTGGGAATGAGAAGAAAAGGACATGTGAGGCTTAAGATATCAGTTATGGTGTAATGTAGTGAGTGTTCTCAGTTATGGAGAAGTGTAGTGTAGTGTAATGAGAACACTTAGTTATGTAGTGTGTGTTCTCAGTTATGGAGAAGTGTAGTGTGTAATGAAACACTTAAGATCCTAGTTATCATTTCAGTAGGAAAGCCTTTTGTGACAGGCTAATGTAATGAATATATGGTATGTAATGTAATGCATTGTAAACCTCTTGTTGTATGCTGAAGATTAAGCTTATGAAATCTAGTTTTGTTGAAGTATTTACTATGTTTTTCCTATGTATGTACCAACAATGGTTTTTTACTCTTTGGTTATGTTGAATTGTGGTTATGTAAACTCTTATATTGTTGTGAATTTGATGAGGTGTGGTGGTTGTATTTAAGCCATGTACATCACTCAATGGAACCTTTATAATCCATTAATTGTACCAATGTGAACCTTGCTAAAACAAACAATATATGGGCTGAATATTAACAAGGAACACATGGCCTGAATGTGTTTAACCAGGAACTTATTATAATAAGTTTAATATAAACTATGAACACATTAGTTTTAGGTATAAACATGAGGCAGGTATACATTACACCCAAGCAATTAAGTAAGCAGTTTTGTAGTAAAAAACAGCCTGCTAATGTCATTACAGTTACATTAAAAGTAATGGCAACCCTCCTAAACAAAACAAGGATTTATAACTAATCCGTCCTTGAATTCTGAGAGTACAAACTAGCATCATTGCAGATTTGTACTCCCACAATACAGTTAGGGTACATAACCCTGATAATGTCATTCTACCTACATTCAAGGCTGCCACATAACATTCATCTCCCACAGACTAATTACAAGCAAACATCATTGTTAGGAAGTACATATGTTCAAAAAGGAAGTTTAGTTAACAAAATACATGTTAACATGTAATGGTAGTTCCTCTCTTTGTTAACTTGACACTCATAAGAATCTCACCAATCTCCCTAATTCTATTCTTCCTAGGCCTACCCAATTCTTTTTTCTTCAACTCTGCGGGGAGGACTTTAACATTTGTTTTAGGCCAAAATAAAGGTCTAGGAATAGGGGTCATCATTTCAGCATATGTATGGCAATACATGTCCTTGTTATACCATAGGGATCGGATACATAACCCTCAATTCTATGTCCTTTATCTCTTATGGCACAAATGGCATGTTTGCATGGAATCTCAAAAACATCCCACTGCTCACATAAACAACTCCTATTGTCCAAATCTACCAAATAAGTGTCTGATTCACAAGAAACCCCATATCTATTAGAACCATTGAATAGATAGATATTCAATACATTTTTTTATCCTCCTCCTAATCCTGGGACATAAGTCACCTACCCACTTGTCACCCAGGTTCCTATTCTTTAATAGCCCCTGCATCACTAATTTTTTTTTATGTATTCCAATTGAGAAAAACCAAACAGAGATCTAGCAGGTACTATAACACCATTAAAAGCCTCACATAGATTGTTATCCACTGTTTCACACTTGACACTCCTATTGAAAAAGGCTCTACACCAAAACTTGAGATCTATTTTCACCATATCATTATGAGCACTTGGAGAAAGAGATTTAAGTACCTCTAGATTGAGTTCAAATTCCTTCTTTGAGGCTGATTTGCAGCACTTCCAGAATTGCCTTTGCAACTCCAACCCACCATGACTTCTTCTCCAAATTGCATAAATGTGCCTGGCACATCTTCTGTGTTTAACATCAAGTAAGGTCTCATATAAAGCTGGCATCAACCCCTGAAAACATGAAAGTGTGAGTGATTATGCATTCTAGGATACTATATATTGTAATATAATGTTGGGATATATAATAGTATAAGTAATATAATGTCAGATTATGAAATGAAAATGGAAGATTGTGATAGTCAAAAAACATATTGGTATGAAATCATGATACTGTGTCTTAAGATAGTTTATAAACATATTGGTATGAAATATAATACTGCGATATATAATAGTATATATAGTACAATGTAATACTACATACTGTGATAATTTATAAACATATTGGTATGAAATCATGATACTATGAAATGAAAATGTCAAAGCTAGGAAAGTGTTTTAACATATCATACTATATTGGGATTTAAACATCAAAGATTATGTAATCATGAAATATCATACTATGTAATGCACACAGATAATATACAACTTAAAATATGTTAACATATGATACTATTTACTTTTATCATAAGTCAATTTGAGGTAGATATTAAGCAAACTATAGCACAAATGAAAGTGGGTATGACCTTTTGTCGATCCAAAACAAAAGTCCAATCTTTACCCCTTCCAATATTCAAGTCTTCTCTGAGGTACTCTATAAACCACTTCCAGGTGGCTTTAGTCTCAGAAGGTACAGCTGCCCATGCAATTGGGAACATTTGGTTGTTTGCATCTCTTCCTACCGTTGTTAGAATTTCACCCTTCACTCAGTTTTCAGAAATGCCCCATCTATACCTATCAGTCTTCTACACCCTTCAAGGAATCCTTTTTACATGCATGAAAGCACACCTAAAATCTATCAAATACTGGGCTAGAATGCCTTAGATTTAGGATGCAAGTATTACTATACGCTGATTGGACCTAAGTATTTCTTCCTTATAATCCTCCAAGTTCCTGTACTCTTCCTCATCTCCCTTTTTTAGCTTTCATCATTGTCTTAGTCTTTCTCTTTTGTTCAAGACTTACATCACATTTCAATTCTTTCTTCACCATTTCCCTCATGGAAGCCACCTTCATATCAGCCACTCAAGCCTTGGACTTGAAAAAATTCTTCACTAACCAAGAAGCAGTTGCACTAGGTATTTGTCAGCCCGGGTTGCATGTATGATCAATCTCATATGTCTTCACAACCCACTTCTTACTACTGCTTCTATTGTCTATGCCAATGTACACCATCCAATTCCAAGTGCAACCTTTGTTTAAATTGGAACATTTGGCCCTGAGCATGTCAGCACAATTCTTTACCCAATATCATGGATACCTATTACTGATAGAATACTTGTCCATGACATCTCTAGCTTCAACCTTTGACTCAAAACTCATACCCAACCTGAACTCCACCTTGTTAGGTGGTTTGAAACTAGGAAATCTTGACTTTGTTCTCAAACTCCCCTCTTCTTCTGCATCTGACCCAGATTTGTAACTTCCCTCATCACATGAACTGAAATAATTAGTGTAATTTTCATCAGCATCCTCATTTGTACCTTCTTCATTTACCTTTTCCTTTCATCTACCAACACTCTTTTATTTTGTGACAAGTTTTCTTAACAGCAATCGCCCATGGAGCAATTCCTCATCATCTTCATGTTCTGAATTGAAGTCCTCTTCAAAAAGCAGACCAGCTTCTGCCTCTACACGTGGATCTTTAAATGCAATATCAACAACAGCCTCCTGCACCCCACTGTCAGAGCCTGTGTGGGTAGTTGGACTACACATACAGTCATAAATACCAAATTCAATAACAAAGAAAATCCATTTTATAAGTGCATAAACATTATACGCCCTCCGTCCCTTAAAGGTATGCCAAGTTTGAGTGACACGTAGAATAATAAGGTAAAAATTGAGTGGTAGATATTTGTGCAGAAGAGAGAGAGAAATAACAGGAGCCACAAATTGATTGATTAAAAGGGAAAGTGACAAAGTTTTTGGGACAAAAAAAAAAGGAAAGTTGGCAAAGTTATAAGGGACAGAGGAAGTATATTCACTAACTAACTAATACGTCAAAAATGTAATACAATACTTACAAAACATAAATTTACATACAACGATATACATTACACATAGGCAAGCAACATATGCATACCTTTGATTCGTGTTTTCCATGGCTAATGGTTCAATTCCTCCTTCCCCCTTCACCTCTCTAAGCTTCGCAATCCATGCTCAACGCTGATTTTCTGTAAGTGTTGGCCTAATGGTTAGGGCAACAACGATCATGGTTAATTAGGGTTTGTATAGCGTAATGGCTCAGTTAACAGATGAGGTGACATTTTTTTTCAACTCAGTATTCCGTTAGCCACATCACCAAAAATAACGCTGGTGTGTACCCTAAGTACTTGTTCAACACTAAAACAGTCAAAAGATGTACTGTTTTAACTGATTTTCAAAATGGTGTACTCTTTACTCCACTGGGCACTACTTCATGTACTTAATTGACCATTTTATCCTTCTTTTAGATTGTAATTTTTTATTTGCATTTATGAAATTTTAGCTCTCCCAACTCTGGTTGACTTGTTAATAATAATGTAACACACAAATTCATTTAAAAATGGAATGCCAGATGCCCTTCAAAGGCATTTAAAAATGAACTGCCACTAAGATTATTTCAAATCAAATTTGGTAAAATTTGCAACTCTAAATCATTCTTACTTTATTCATACTTTACTAATTCAATATCAATCATTTAAAGTCATTTTTCTTAATAATTGTATCATCTCTTCATGTCCCAATGTTAGTAAGACGGGGCAGAATATCTTTACCCATCGTGATGAAAAACTTAATAGATAACAAATGGTATGAAGAATAAGAAAAATAAAGGATGTATTTCTCCCTTATTTATTTTCTGACTACAACATTTTTTTATTAGATCTTTTTAATCATTATATTTCCTTTACATTTATATGATTTATTTATTTAATGTATCCCTAATATGACTAGTCATATTATGAGAATTGCACGAGTTTTAATAATACATACGGTATGTAAATTTCCTAACATTTTAAACTCTTAACAAATTACACTAGTGTTGCAACATACTACCTCCGTCCCATTTATATTGGGACGAAAGAGGGTGACACAATTATTAAGAAAAGTGAGTTTGTGTGATTGATATTAATTGATAAAGTAAGAATAAAGTAAGAATGATTTAAAGCCACACAAACTTTGCCAAATATGACATGAGACCATTTAAGTGAGACTTCCTGAAAAGGTAAAACGGGACAATATAAATGGGACGGAGGGAGTAGAACATACTGCAACATAGGGTTGTTAACGAGCCGAGCCGAGCCCGAACACCTAAAGCTCGAGTTCGGCTCGATAAGGAATTAATGGTGTTCGGGTTTGAGCTCGAAGCTTGGCGAGCTTTACAAAGGCGGCCCGTGTTCGGCTCGATAGGTGTTCGATGTTCGAACCGAGCGCTCGTTAAGCTCGATAAATATGGTCGAATTTAAAATTTTAGGTGATGCTCGTCAATAGGCTCGTGCTCGAATGATTCAACAAGAATTCGGTTCGTTAATAATCATATTTAAATTCATAAAATCATACTAATTATATTTAAATTTTTATTAATTATATATAAATAATATTCATAATTCCAGGGTGTTCGATAGGCTCGAGTTCGAACCGAGCCGAATACTACTATATTCGAGCTCGGCTCGATTAATTTCTCGAACTTAAAACGTAGCTCGGGTTCGGTTCGGAAGCTCGTTAAGCTCGGCTCGTTAGGTTCGAAACCGAGCTCGAACTCAAATAGTTCGATAAAAGCTCGGTTCGTTAACCGCCCTACTGCAACATACACCAAGTGTGTTTTTACTTTTTAGTGCGATCTTACAAAGCTGGGATGGGTTAACAAAAATTAAAACATAAAATCTAGAGATTCTTTACTTATTTCTTTTCAATTTTTTCTATTATTTGTTCTCCAATTGGTGTTTCTTCTTTCAAATCTGGACACACATTGAGAGCATTAAAATGCTTGATGCACTTCTTCAACTTAAGAAAAAAATATAGATAAATCTCATTTTTTTATATAATAAACAGCTAAACATGTTTTTCAATTTTGTGTCTGTTCGGTAATACTGTTATTTGGCTTATCAGTAAGGTTGTAGTTACTTTTCTGACTGTTTCGGCTGAAGTTACTGGAACCATTTTAACTATTTTTATATAATTTTTCTTTATTTTATTAATGAAATATATTTTAAATTTAATTTTTTAATAAATCAACAAAATGAGCTAATATAGCCACCACCTAAACCAAAACTTCATAAATTTGAACAAGGTCAGCCGAATATCTTTGTTTGTTTCGATTTTCGAATTTTTTGAAAAACAAAAATATTAAACGCCCCCTAAATATTCCAGAGCTTCTAAGAACACTGTGCATAATTCTACCGACCACTAATTCACGACTGAGCTTAGAGAGTTAGAGGGGCCTACATTTCTTCCACGACGGGGTTTGGGAGCGACTGTCGGTGGCAGTACAGCATATGCAAAAGCATCTTCTTCGCCTTCTTCTCCTTCCCAAATATAAATGCAAGGTGCTGAAAATAGCATTAAACCAACAAAAAAAACTTACAGCAGTTTCTGGTGTTCCCAGACTGGAGGAGGACCCACACCCCCTCACCCACCGCGTCGGTTATCCTTATCTCTCACGCCTTCTTTATAATTCTGGGTGCTCAAAGCTGTGATCTTTAACCGAAGTATCGAACCGTTGGATATTTCAGTTCGGGATCTCACTTCTACCCAATCCCTCTCATTCGGATCTGTCCATTTCCGGGCTTCCTTTCTTTATCTGTGTAAGTAAATCAGAATTTCAAAATTAGTTCAATCTGTATAACTTTCTGCTTGTTTAACACTCATGAGATATCATTTGAGATGGTTCAGCAATTTATTGCTTCATTTGTTCCTTGGGTTTTATCAGTTTTGATTATTTTGCTTTGTAAGTTCAAGATTGCTGTCTGTTGGTAACCATTTACAGAGCCATGAAGTTTGAATCTTTTGTGTCAAATGTGAGGAAAGTGATTGCTTTAGTTCATGAACATTTAACTGCTTTTTCTATTATTGAAATTTGGGCAGTTTAACATTGAGAGAATTCCATGAATTAGGACTAAGTATAACCATGCCTTCAAACATGGGATATCTTGTACTTCTTTTACACCTAAAACCAGAATTTTGAACTATATCCATTCTTCTTTTACATATAGAAAGAGCACTCCTTTTTACGCACATGACCCATGTTTTAGTAAATTCTGTTTGATATTTTAATCTTTTGTGCCTAATGTGAGTGAGAGCTTTACATATAGAAAGAGCACTCCTGTGCTCGGGTGGGGTGCATCATGTACTCATTTTTTGGGAAATTTTGGAAGTTAACAATGTTTCTTAATTTAAATGCTTTGTAATCAGAAGTAGCAAAGCACCATTTTGGGATCGAGACCAAATATTTTATGAGATTGTGGTTGGCCTGAAGCTCAAAGTTGTGATATGAGTTGTACGGAAAGAGAATGTGTGGTTGATATTGAGACTGATGGGACTACAACTGGAGTAGGTAGTTCATACAAATGTGAAAATGAGGGGGAGGTTTTGCCTCCTGGAAAGATTGAAGGGACAATGTTAGAGAATACAATGGAAAAGAAAGTAGAGAAAGAGAAAAGAAAGTCCATAAGTGCCAAGAAGCCTCCCAAACCCCCTAGACCTCCAAGAGGGTTGTCATTAGATGCTGCTGACCAAAAGCTGATCAAAGAAATACACGAACTTGCGTTGATCAAACGTGCAAGGATTGACCGCATGAAGGCCTTGAAGAAACTGAAAGCTGTAAAGGCATCGTCCGTTTCATCAGCATTTAGTGGGAGTTTCTTCGCTATGTTTTTCACCGTTGTGTTCTTCATGGTGCTAATCTTCCAAGGTGAGGACCCTCAACCAGCTCTCTTGTTTCTTAATTTGGACTAGTTTTTCAATTTTGTACCTTGAACAATCTTTTGAGCTACAAAATTAATAATGTTGTTATGTTTTTCTTGTTTTTTCTAGTACCACTCATTCACCTTTTCCTTAAGATGGATATGCATACTTATTGGTGTTACATCTGTAGGTTCATAAAATCTCTGGTTGAATTCTTACCTAGACTCCGCTTGTTTCCAGGAAAATAACATATGCTCCATACTACTTATCTTTCTAGTAAAATGCTCTCTGAGGAATTGATTTTTCATAGAAAAAAATCTTTGAAAAATAAGTTGTTTTGAGGTAGAATATAAAGGTTGTCTCTTTGACCAAAAAAACCATACAACTCAAATACTACTTTTTTTCAAAAGGGGAAGTGATCTGCACTTTCACAAAAGTAAAGAAACATAAGGAAAAATATTCCTTTTAGGTAGATATTTTTGGTGTGCTTGAAACAGGTTTCATGTGCAGGACAGGAAAGTCTGAAAACAGAGCCTTAGAGGGTTCTCAACCTAAGGAAAACTCTGTTTGAGAAATCTGTAACATATCCATCATCATTTGTTTACCTGGAAATTTTGTATCTTCATCCAAAAGAGGGAACTCGGAAATTTGCATTTACTTTCCATGAGGTTGTTCTATTTATGATCTGTTTGGAACTCAGAAGATGCTGGAAATAAAATACAGAAGAAACTCATGAAGAAAGAAAATTTTGAAGAAAATAAATTTAGTTTAACACTCGATAAATTATTGTTTATTCTTAGTTCAGATTCGGTTAAAAAATGTAAAAAAGTTTGAAGCTTTATTCATATTTATTTTTCCATTGCATTTTCCGAGGTAAAACTGCCCATTAGAAAATAATTTCCCTTGACATTTTCTTTCCTTTTCCCTAGCAGTTTATTCATTAGAAAATAATTTCCTTTTCCTTGAAAAATGCTAGATGTTTATTCATTGTTGTCTGGAAGTGGTGATGTCGATAGACCACTTTACCTCAATATCTTATTTTAAATTTGAAGTATAAAAATGCTTATAAGTTTACATATATATTTTGCAGGGATGTCCTCAGGAAATGGATCCTCAAGCTTTCATGGTTCTCCAGAGTCAGGTGTACCACAAGACCAATCAAACCTATCTCCTTCTAATCCATCAATTTCAACCAATTCTAGACATCTGATGTAGGTTCTTCAAACCGAACCCTCTCTGTTAAAAATCTAAAATGTCAACTATTCCAATAGATTTCTCCTTGTTCTTTGGTAATATGAAATAACTGTATTGAGCTACTACCATTTACAGTATAGGGGAGAACTTAGCCGGGGTGATCCCCGCGTTTGGGTCGAAGAAGGCTTTAGGATGAAAAGTGCAGATGAAGAGTAGAATAATGCCAGTCTTCCCGCCTTCTTGAACAGCTTCAATGGCTATGATGATGCCCTTTGTACAGCTAATAAGTAGTGGTATTATTATTGTTGTTATTAATAGTGGTAGTATTATAATTCATTTTCTTAAGCTTTTCTAATTAGTTTTTACTACAATGAATCATTTATTTATTCACTATAGAAGTATTAGTAGTGACGAACTGGCTATATCCATCAGAATCTTTTTCTAACGTCGACATGATCTGTTGATTACTAAGTCATTCTTTTTAGATCAATTTATTTATGGAGTTTGGTTCAGAATTTCAGATACTTTATCAGTTGAATGTTAGTTGATTCGTGAGTCGTTTTCTGTAATCAATTTGGGGGGGGGGGGGGTCTGTTTCAGACATTAGTAAGTAGATGTTGGAAACTTGGAATGACATTTAGTAAAACACAAAGACAGCATACCAAAGATTGTCCTCCCAATTAATAAAAGTGTTGGTGTCTTTATATATATTAATTGTCCTCCCAGCATATTACTGGGACATTGCCCTGTCCAGGGGCAGATTCAGAAACCTGAGAATCTGAGATGCCCTGCATTGAAAATTCAATTAAAGTTGGTAAAAATCATGTGATTGCAATAATAGTATGTTTGGATGAATGTTAACATAGGTCAATATGCTAAGTTTACTTACAAAGAAAACTCAACATTTAAACATATTCGTTTGAATATTTTCTAAAATCGGATGAACCTAAGGTGTATTCAAAACTAAGGTGTATTCAAAAGTAGGTTCTTTTCACAAATATACCACAATTGAAAACATTCCAACACTGAATAGAAATGCACCAAAACACAGTGACAAAATCCTTGAAAAGTAACTCATTCAAAGTTAGTGGTTGATGATGGATTATCCTTCAATATGTTAGTGTTGTTGGATTGCTGGACTCTAAAGGCGGAATGGGACAGAAGAACATGGGAAGGGTAGATCTAATGGACATATATCAGAAATCAGACGTCAATGTAACCTAGCACTTGTGTGGCCACTCATTATTATCACCAAATTGTTACCTAATTTTGAGCATATATTAAATACACAGCAATGCATTTAAAGATCTACACTAAACAAAAAAATTTGAGTTACTCCCTCCGTCACAATATTTTATCTTGTTATGACTTTGTACACCGGAAATTCTAAAATGGGTGAAAAAGGGGGACACATGTCTTGAACCGGAAATTCTTTACCAAAAGAGAAAATATAAATTTATATTGAGACAGTCAGAAAAGGAAAAGCTAAAGATAATATTGGGACGGAGTCATTGAGAGAATTATATCTATAGACGAGTAGATGTCATGAAGTATACAAGGAACTAGTTGGTGAATAAATTCTAAGAAAAAGTAAGAAAGTGATTGTCACATGGGAAAACAAACGCAAATGGGCTAAGCCTACACATTGCACGACTAAATGGGCTAAGCCTGTAGATATTACTATTACTATATGAACAGATCATTATTTAACAATACTTATGATGCTAAGACGTCTCGAATGGGAGGGTATGGATGGTGTCTTACATACTCATACATGTGAGACTCATTTTTTATCTCACAGATTTTATGTGTAGGCCTACACATTTACTAATTTATTAATTTTCAGTTTTTTTAAATATAATTTTAACTTATTTTCGTCTATGGGTGGGCAAAAGACCCGGTCCCTTTGGTCCGTTCTGGAACTTCTTTTACAAATTCATGATTTTTATTTAATTTAAACTAATTTTAAAATGATTTAATATTTTAGGATGAGTAGCTTCGAAAAATCACGGTTTTCATTTTTGAATTTGAATTTGTACTTAATTTTCAATTTCATTTTACAAAGTTAGGATTTGTGTAAAATAAAGAGAAATGAAATTATGTAATTAGGATGATTAGCTTCTAAAAATCAAGGTTTTCATTTTTTGAATTTGTACTTAATAATTTTCAATTTCATTTTTCCTTTCAGGTCTTTATATTTACTTTTTTACTCTCTTTATTTATATATTTTATATTCATTATATATTAATACTATCTTACATATTATAACATTTTATTTTTGAAATTTATGTATGTTTTCCATATTCTATATTTATATAGTTTATATTCTTAAATTCCATAAATTAAACTACGTAAAAAAAGTTAATAAAGTATAAATAAATACCTATAATCTTTTTTACCATTTTTGTTTACTTATGGAAAGTTTTATTTAACTTTTTGGGTCTAATAAAAGTCACAATTGATAGTAGATCTTTTCAATTGACTGAACAAGTAGACTGTCATGTGAGATCATTATTGACGCAAGATCTCTAAAGTTAGGATTATTCTAAAATAATCGATATTCGGAATTATTATGAAAATTATTATCTATTTTTCCTATATAGAGTATGTATACGGTCGGTAACAACTAACAATCAGCTAAAACAATGGAAAAACTAATTAATACCCATGTATACACGGCTCTATAAGACTATGGGAGTGTTTGCAACAACTTAAAAAAAATACTTCTCAACTTTTGGTTTAAAAAAGTACTTATTTACCAAACACTACCAATTTTTACTTTTTCTTGGCTTGCGTGTGATAAGTGTTTTTCTCTTTTCTATTACACAAAAAACACTTATTTTACCAAACACTGCAAACTTTTACTTTTCAAAATCACTTTTTTCTCAAACACTATGAACATTTACTACTAATTATTTTTTCCTTACATCTCCAAAAATGTTTTTTTTTAGCAGAAGCAGTTGCAAACACTCCCTTAAAGTGCAAGCATATACTTCCTCCGTTCTTTTTTAGTTGCAACGGTCAACATTTCACACTTGCCAACGCACATCTTTGACCGTAATTATATCTTAATCCCTATTAGTAAAAAATATTTAAAAACTAGATTTTGAAAATTTATAATGAGATGAATTGAACAATATAATTTAAAAATAATAATTTTCATAAAATAATAATATAAAATGTAGTCAAAGTAGAATATGTGAATAATGTAAAATTCAACATGTTGCGATTAAAAAGAGACGGAGGATAGTACAAAGTATGGAGTACGAGATAAATAAAAAGCAATTGTACAGTAAAATACGGAGTACTACGTAGTAAAAAAAATTCGGTACAAAAGAAAGTCTTTAGTAAAAGTGGCTTAGTGGCGGCTTACCCATTGACGGAGACCAATGGCTACCACCAGCTGGATGGCTGATTGGCTGGATGCACATACGGAGTAGAAGATTAGAGTCATGTAGCTGGGCGGGGAGGTGGGGAGAGGGAGGGAAAAAGAAAAGGAAACGAAAGGAAAGAAAAAGAATATAGAAAGTAATACGGAGTATATGCTCAAAATTTCCTATTTTAAGAAGATGTTCTCTTCGTCTGATCTAAATGTTTCTGATCTGAATTTATTAAGTTCTGATCTGAATTTTGCTAATCTGATCTGATCTGATCTGAATCTTTCTGATCTAATCTAATCTGATCTGAATCTTTCTGATCTGATCTGATCTAAATCTTTCGGATCTGATCTGAATCTTTCTGATCTTATCTGAATATTTCTTTAAATATAATTATAATTATTATAATTATAATCGTAATTATAAATATAATTTAAATATAATTTATAATTATAGTCATAATTCTAAAAATATTTAATTATAATTATTATCATAATTATAATTAAAGTTATAAAAAATTATACCTACTACACTTATTATAATTATAGCTATAATTATAATTTTAATTATATTTTTAATTATAATTATTTCTATAATTATAGTAGTTATTATAATTATAATTACTCTGTATAATAATAAAATACATAATAATAATAATAATAATAATAATAATAATAATAATAATAATAATAATAATAATAATAATAATAATAATAATAATAATAATAATAATAATAATAATAATAATAATAATAATAATAATAATAATAATAATAATAATAATAATAATAATAATAATAATAATAATAATAATAATAATAATAATAATAATAATAATAATAATAATAATAATAATAATAATAATAATAATAATAATAATAACAATAATAATAATAATAATAATAATAATAATAATAATAATAATAATAATAATAATAATAATAATAATAATAATAATAATAATAATAATAATAATAATAATATGGAGTAATAATAATAATAATAATAATAATTATTATTATTATTATTATTTTATAATAATAAAAGTGAGAAATCATGTTTGAAATTTTCTGATCTGAATCTTTCTGATCTGATCTGATCTGAATAAAATAAGAATAAGCAATAAGTAATAAGAATAAGAGGAACAGAACAACACCTAAGTCTAGGGGTCGCATTACAATGGGTTGTTTTTATTTTTATTTTATTTTTAAGCTTTACAATTGAATCGAGTTATTTTTATATCTAAAGAATTATTCCACACTTACAATGTACGAACTATGAAGTACTAGTACTCCGTAATATTTAGAAGAACCTGTCTTTACATGCTATTTTTAAAATCATTAATGTGTGTATCTTTTCAACTCAAAATTTGTGAATGGATAAGTCAATGTCAAATTATTTTATAATGAATTGAGGGGGTGAATCTTAACAATCGATTATGTTGCATTTTGTTACATTAACTCTTAAATGAATCAAAATAGTACCTTAATTCTTAAATGAAATGCAGTATTATTCAAATTTATGAGAAAAAATCACACGTGACAGACGAAATTCTATAAGTAAAGTCTACTTCACCTTATTTTTGTTCATATGAGCAGTATGAGTGATTCTACATATGAAATTTTGATAGTCATTAAGAACTTTTCGACACAAATTCAAGACAATAACAAATTAAAACATTTATCTATAATTATGATACTGATTTAATTCATTTTTTATTTGAATTGAAATGTACTCTGTATACATTAATTAAAAAATAGGGAGTAGGAGTGTAGGACGCAAACTCAAATTTCACCATCTTTTGGTTCAAAGTCAAATTCTATTTACGGCCGGCGTACGCATATCTAGCCTTATAGGCAATTATTACCCGGCCACTCAATTAGGGAAATAAAGCAAATGAGTCCAATCTAATTTTTAGCGTGAACAATATGGCCAAATGAGAAAATAGCTCGTAGCTTCCACCTTCAAAACTTTTTATATAGCTTCCGCCTTAAAACTTTTTTTATAGAGCTTCCGCCTTCTAGGCCATTATATACACGGAGTATATAATAAAAGTCAGCATTAAGAGCTCTTCGATCATTTTCCTAAGAATTCATTTGAAGGAAAGAAATGGCGGAACCTATTTGGCTGTATATTCTGGTGGGTATCGTACTACCTCCCGCTGGTGTGTTTT